TTCAAACAGCTCATGGTATGACGTTCCATAACCAAGTAGCACATATTCCTGTATTCCAAATTTTCAATACTGACGATTTTCATAAATTCTACATTTTTGGCTTTTCTGATAAATATGATGGCATAATTGATGCTGACCTATTAGAACAGCTACAAGCCAATATTGATTTAAAAAATAAAATGCTAATTACTCCTATGGCCCATATCCCCATTATTTTCGAAAATAAATCAAATTGTCCGAATCCACCTAAAAAATTTCAGACTTACCAAATCACCATAGCCCCTCGTACAGAACAAGTTGTGAAAATTCCCGTGAAGTTGAATAGCGGAACAGGTGTTCTAGAGTATACAAATTTTGCTAACAAATTAGAGATGCCTCAAACTTTGGTGAATATTTCGGATAATTTTGCTATCACTACGATTATTAATTCGAGTGAGGAAGCTGTAAACTTAGAAATCAATAATCCTTTAGATATTGAACCTATAGAAATTTTTGATGTGCATGTTCACAGTGTTAATGAAACTGATGGAAATTTTGACAAAAATTATAATAGCATATTAAAGAATAATCTGCAAAGTTTACGTCTTGATCACTGCAATGAAGAAGCGGATGCTATACACAAGCTTTGTTTAGAATTTAGAGACATTTTTCACTGCAAAAATATCCCATTAAGCTTCACTAACAAAATTAAACATCTTTACAAAAAGTTATCGTTATCCAGAAATTCATAGAAATGAAGTTAAACATCAAATTTCGAAAGTGCTACAGCAAGACATTATTCAAGCTTCAACATCACCCTTTTCATCCCCTATATGGATAGTACCAAAAAAAGAAGATGCTTCAGGCAGAAAGAAGTGGCGAATTGTTATAGATTATAGAAAACTTAATGAACGTACAGTCGACAATAAATACCCTCTTCCAAACATAAATGATATTTTAGACAAACTCGGTCGAAGTCAATATTTTACGACACTTGATCTGGCTAGCGGATTCCATCAGATTGAAATGGAACCAGAAGATATTCCAAAAACAGCTTTTTCAACTGAAAATGGTCATTGGGAATTTAAAAGAATGCCTTTTGGTATGAAAAATTCTCCAAGTACATTCCAACGCGTCATGGATAACATCCTGCGTGGTCTCCAAAATGAAATATGTCTCGTCTATCTAGACGACATTGTAGTTTTCAGTAGTTCTCTTCAAGAACATATTGTACGTTTAAGACAAGTATTTGCAAAGCTCAGAGAATCAAATCTTAAAATCCAAATGGACAAATCGGAATTTTTAAGGAAAGAGGTTCAATATTTAGGACATGTCATTACCCCAGAGGGAGTAAAACCAAACCCAGATAAAGTTTCGGCAGTAAAAGATTTTCCTATTCCTAACAATCAAAAGGAGATCAAATCATTCCTAGGTCTCGTAGGTTACTATCACAGATTTATTAAGGACTTTGCAAAAATTACCCGTCCAATGACACTTTGTCTTAAGAAAGAAGCTAAAGTCGTCCACACACCCGAATTTATAAAATCTTTCGAACATTGTAAAGGTCTCCTAGTAAATGCACCCATACTCTCATACCCCGATTTTGAAAAATCTTTCATTGTCACTACCGATGCCTCGAATGAAGCTGTAGGTTGTGCTTTATCTCAAGGTATCATTCCTAATGATAAACCAGTCGCTTATGCTAGTCGCACTCTAAACGAAACTGAAACTCGATATACTACTACCGAAAAAGAACTTTTGGCTATTGTATACGCTTGCAAACAATTTAGGCCTTACATATTTGGACGTAAATTTTATATATATACAGATCATCGCCCTCTAGTTTGGTTGATGAATGCTAAAGGTGTTAATAGCAGACTTGTACGTTGGCGACTCAAATTAATGGACTATCAATATGAAATCATATATAAAAAAGGAAAATGCAATACTAATGCCGATGCATTGTCACGTATTCATGTAAATGCAGTAGAATCAGCTAGTGTCATATATAACCCAGGTGACATTGATCAGGATATTCAAGATTATTTAAATCAGTTATTTGCCAATAAACAATCTCTCCCAGATTTGGAAGAAGATACCTTAGCATTGTTAAATTCAGATCCCGGAAATCCTATTACGGCTTCACAACCATTAGATTCTTCAAGAAATATACACATTTTACAAGATGTTCAAGTAGCTCCACCGAATAACATACAAAATGAATCTCAGCGAAACCGAGACAGCCCACACTTGTAACGCGGAAAATAATTTCAATGATGGTATTCCTATACTAGATGAAATAATCAATAATAAGGTAACCCAAGTTATCGTTTCTAAAAATCCACACAATCAAACAGATGTCAAACAAGAAACCTTTGATAATCATAAAATTCTTTATGTGAAAATTACAAATTCTGCTTCAGCCATAAATCAATTTCTTAGAGAATACACATCCAATGACAGAACATTTTATCTGTACTTCCATGAGGATTCACTTTATACTGTGTTTAATAGAGTATTCATAGATCATTTCGATAGCAATGAATTAAAATTAGTTAAATGTACAAAATTACTCAATACTGTCAAAGAAAAAGATGAGCAACTTATGCTGATTAAATTTCAACATGAAGGCAAGAGTAATCACAGAGGAATCAATGAAACATTAGAAAAACTCAAACGAAATTATTATTGGCCCCGCATGAAGTCCGATATCACACATTTTATTAACGATTGTGTAATTTGCCAAAAAGCCAAATATTCTAGAAATCCCCCATATATTCCACTGGTATTGACAGAAAGCATAGGAAAACCCTTCCAATTATTACATGCTGATGTATTTACATTCAATAGTCAACATTTTCTGATGATTATTGATGCTTTTTCCAAATTAGGACAAGCAGTTCCGAACCAAGCAAAGACCTCTGTCGAAATTTGTAGAGTATTCTTACATTATTTCTCATATTATGGTCTACCTGAGCGTATTACTCTTGATAATGGTACAGAATTTAAAAATGAGACTGTTAGGGAACTCTTGAAATGTCATAAAATCGATGTGCATTTTACTACACCTTTACATCACGAATCAAATTCACCAATAGAAAGATTCCATTCATCACTAATTGAGCATCTCAGAATACTTTTACAAAAATTTCCAAAAGAAACGACCACTAACCTTATCAATTACGCTTTAATAGCATATAACAGTTCATTACATTCTGCTACAAAATTCACGCCATTTGAATTGACTTTTGGGCACACTATTTCCAGAGATCCTTCGGACCTTATCGAAACTACTTTTTACTCTGACTATGCTTCAAATCATAAAGATAAAATGAAACATCTATACCAGCGTATTTCAAACGATTTGCAGGAAAATAAAGCCAAAGCACTCGAAACACGTAACATTCATGGTAGCTCACAATATCAGTTCAAAGTAGGGCAAGTAGTCTATAAAGCCAATCGTAGAAGAAATAAAAAAGACAACAAATTTGAAGGTCCATTTTAGTTAGTAGAAATCTTAGAACATAATAAAGCAAAAATAAAAAATAAGTCCACAAATAAAATAGAAATAATACATATGAAGGAACTCAAAGTCCCTTCTATTTCAGGATCCTCGCCTGCAGCAGAAGATCGACAACAGAACTAGTATGTCCCAAATTCCACGACCTCAGCGACAATCCTGGCCTCCTTCCTTAAAATTAGGAAACGCCCAGAATATTGCTGATTATTGGTCATTCATACAAATATTTGATATTTCCTATCTAGCTGAACAATTCTCAGAATTGCAAGTAATTTTTGGACAATTGAAAATGGAAATTGAAAATTCAACTTCCTATTTTACAGAAATAAAAAATTATTGTTATCTAATATTATCATTAGAATCAAAGATTCACGATCAATTGTTACAGATAAATCTAGTTTATAATAGAGACAGAAAAGAGGATTAATCAATGGGCTTGGTTCGATCATAAAAATTATCACAGGAAATTTAGATGAATCAGATGCGAAACGCTATGATCAAGCATTATTATCATTATCGAAAAATCAAGAGAGAATCAAAACTTTAGTCCAGGAACAAGTTACAATTATCAGTCAGGCTCTGGATGTTTTTGAGCAAACATCGAAAAATATTACAAAAAACCAATTAATTTTAGAATCACGTATCCTGCAATTTGAGAAATCTCTCATGGCTCTTCAGACAAAAGATTTACACTTAGAAAACGAACTTCTTATACAAATTGTAATTTCACAAATATTAACTTCATTTCGATATATCCACGATGTTTTAGAAAAATTAGAAGTTGCAATATCTTTTGCAAAACTTACATTCCATAATTCTATATTGAAACCTCAAGACCTTCTAGTCGAAATAAAGCTTATCTCAGAACATTTAAATGATGTCAAACTACCATTTGAACCTGCTTTAGAAAACATTTTGCTTTTTGAGAAAATATTAGAAATCAAAAGTTATAGTAAAGGCAATCAAGTTATTTTCATTCTGGAAATTCCTTTAGTAGAGGTCGACAGATATAATTATTATCACCTATACCCATTACCTACGACGGCATCCAATCAATTTAAAGTCATATTTCCTTACTCAAACTACCTAATCCTAAATGAGCACACTTATAGCCTTTTTGACAAAAACTGCAAAGAAATTCAGCCTGAACAATATGTTTGCCACGAGAAGAACCCAGTAAAGCTAAGCAAAGGGAATCCATGTGAAGTTCAAATGTTACTGTATGAAAAGAATATTACTAACTGTTTTCAAGTGCCGATACAAGTACAACAAGAAAAAGTCAAAAAGCCAGATGCAGAAAACTGGATGTTAATTATTCCCAACATAAAAATTGTCACATATAGGTGTGGTGAAAACCAAGACAAAATTCCACTTCGAGGAACATATCTACTAGAAAATTGCCAAAATTGCGAAGTCTATATGGGTTCAACTGTTATAAAAAGTCGCCGGAACCCAAAATCACAGTTTAAGTATCTGGCACTACCAAAGCTAGTTTTTGAAGGATTCAAGAAAACGCAAACTGCCCATTTGGAACCTCTTCAACTAGAGTCCATTAACTTCGAAGAAACGAACAACATTAGAGCCGCCCTGGATTTGAACAAGCACATACTCCAAGAAATCCCCGATAATCCAATTATTGATCTTCAATCAGTAAGCATCTGGATCATCTTACTGTATTCCCTAATTGCCATCATCTGTGGCTACCTCACTGTTAAATCCTACTTTAAAAGAAGACAAGCCGAAAAGAAGAAAGAAAATAGAAAAACCGAAATTATTGTTTGAAGTTAAGAATGATAAAGATAGAAGATAAGTTATAGAAGATAAACGTTAAGGAGAAAGAAGATAGAAATTATCCAAGAAGAACGAAAACTTTCAAACTTCACCGTTGGTTCAGTTTCTACGGCGGGAGGAGTTACAGACACCAGATATGCATAATTGTAGAATTGCATTTCACATAGCTTGCACTTTTTACAGAGTTTATAAATATACCGTAATTTGCATTGTATTCAGTTCTAGCTATTTCTCGGTCCGTTTCACATCAATTTTGTACGTTTTGAAAATAAAAGTTTTTTAAAAACTTATTTCGGAGTCGTACTTCCGTAAGTCGCTATAACTAGAAACCGGATGGACGGCGCTAATCACAAGAGCATCGGGACGGTGTTAGCCGTACCATTGAAATGGTAATCATCAGGATTTCATAACTTATACCGTCTCTCGAGATCCCTGCAGATTGCGCTAGCAGAGGTTTAACGCCAACAAATCTTGTCAATCACCCCCTTTGGTTCCATATTGGATAACTTTGCCTACTACCAAATGGAAAATCAAAAGGTTTATCGATGCAAGTTCTGATGTCAGCTAATGATGTCGTTAAGGAAAACAAGCCAAACAATACAGTGGTTCTTACAGCCGAAATTCAAACAGAAGATTTTTTCCATCGATTAGTAAATGGCTTATCCAGTTTAAATACGATTCAAAAAATTATTTGTCGTCTTATTCGTGTCAGAAATGATACAATAAGTTCAATTTGAGATCCCTTTTCAGACTTTGAACTACACAGAGCATTATTAATTCTGGTGAAAATTGTAGCCGACCAAGTTATCAATTTCTAAATTCGTTGAAATAATTCGTCATGCCGCCTACCCTTGCAAAGATTCGTCGCATCCATAAAATAGAAATAAACATAAAAACTAAGGGCAGAACAAACATTCGCATCTGCAAACCACCCAGTGAACGCCAAGGGAAACCAAATTCATATTACGAAGAAAATAGATAATAGAACCGGATGCTATAAAGTTGGACTTTTCAAATATGCCGGGACAAAAACAGGGTTTGGAGATATATTCTGTAATAACATTTGGTTGCTATAACTATAAAGTTGCAACCAAAGGAGTGCCGAGAAATTTGAATCTCAACCATTTGGTTAGTAGATGTTAGAAACTACCCCGAGCGCTGAACGGTCAAGCGTCAGAGGCGTATCATGGGATATATAAGACTTCTGAAGGCTAGCATACTACTAAAAATTGTCAAAATTGTGGGAAAATATGAAAAAGAGGAGACAAACAGCTAGGTTTTTAGTAGAATTTTCCCCTAGCTGATAGGAGCAGGTAACAGAAGTGGAAATTCGAGGAGTCTCGGACCAGTCCAGAAACTGAAGTATTGGATGCAAAACATCCTGTATTGCTGCCTAAAGATCATAAATTAACAGACCTTATCATTGTGCAAACACATAGGTAACATTTACATCCAGGACTAAATACGATTCAATACCTAATTCGACAGAAATTTTGGGTTTTATCATCGCGCAGATATATCCAAAAGGTCTTGTCACAATGCATTCGATGTTTTCGCCAAAATCCCAAAACGTGTACCCCCTAAATGTCGGATCTACCATATTTTCGAACCTCACAATTGAATACCGTATACGTATACGTATACCTAGACTATGCAGGTCCAATAAAAACCTTTGTAGGACAGCGGCGTCGCGGTGCGCCATCCTCAAAATCCTACATAGCCGTCTTTGTTGATACTTGTCTTAAGGCAATTCATATCGAACTTCTTTCAGGTTTAACCACAGAAGCTTGTATTGCTGCGTTAAGACGTCTTGTAGCCAGACTGGGCACTCGTGTACAGATCACAGGTGATCAGGGTACAAATTTTATCGGGGCTATTAGAGAGCTTCACAATCTCTCTAAGGCTGCGGCCGCAAGCTTAAAAATCCTAATGGAATTTAAATAGCCCAGGAGCTCCCCATCTTAACGGTTTAGCCGAAACGGGAGATATATCCGTTAAAACCCATTTATATCGAGTCATCGGAGACCAAATACTAACCTTAGAAGAACTATATACCCTTCTCACTCAAATAGAAGCATTACTAAATTCTCGCCCCCTTTGTGAACAAAGTTCAGACCCCAATGATTTAGCACCACTAACCCCCGGCATTTCTTAACCACAGAACCTTTAAATTCATGCCCAGACCCTGATTTATCATTCCTTATACAAAACACTCTTATTCATTGGCAACTCATTCAGAGATTACATTCAGATTTCCAGAAACGCTGGAAACTCTCCAGCAACGTTGTAAGTGGAACGACCCATCAAAGGAAATTAAGTTAGGTTCCTTAGTAATAATCAAAGACGAGTCAACGCCTCCACCGCGTTGGTTGTTGGGACGCGTTATGAAAGTTCATCCTGGTCGTGATAATCATGTCAGGGTTGTTACACTAAGAACACAGCATTGGCTTCTCACGCGGCCGGTGGTAAAGCTTTGTCCCTTACCCATAGTGAAATAATATTTAATCATATAACATAATTTTCCTTAGTTCTGTCGTGTGTGTGTTTTCGCTTTTTTTTTTTGTAACCACTGGGTTACAAATACTCATTTATTCAATTCAATCCTATTCTTCGTCTATTCGTATACATGTTTATATATTATAATCATTCACTTAATTCAAATCATATATTTTCGATACTTTGTTTTTTGTCAAAACTCTTATATTCTATTTTGTTTAAAGTCAAATCAATTCAATAATTAATTTATTCCAAATCCTATATTTTCGATACATTGCTGTCATTATCTTGTACTGAATAAACTTCATATAAAACTCCGTTTTAAGTAGACGGAAATGTTCATGCAAGTTCAAAAACATACATCATTATTTGAACTCAAAAGCCATACAAATTCAAATTCTTTGGCACGTGCGCATATAAGTAAAACATGCGCACAAGAGGAAGACGATTTCGTGAAGTCAATCTCGTAAAGAACGGAAAAGGCAACGGTCGTCTTCAATACCTCGACAAAGAATCCTGCTTAAACCGGGTACAATATATTCGCTAAGGCAAGTGTGGTGAACCTAAGAAGAAGCTGTGAAGAGAGAGGAGCTCCTCCAGACCAGGCTACAAGAACACCCAGGTACGTGCCAGTCCAACAATCCTACATTGTCTTTGTATGGCTCTGGTGTCGATTACCTTATTACCTTAATTATATCTGAACGCGCTTCAGTTCCGCGGCTCTCTACAATTTAGAATCATCTTTGCAATAACAGGTAGATAACGTATCATTTACTAACTTGCTGAACTGGTGAAAACAAAAAACCAAAGGTGTATCCCACATCATTTGAATTGTTAAAAAATGTGTAAATCTCATAGCTACTATCTACTATGTAACCGACTATTAACGTTGAGTACTTAAATCTGAAACGTCTATCTCAGTGAAAAAATGAAAAACCAAATAATTAACAATACAAGATGTTCTGAAGCGGTGACCCATCCAAATACTAACCGCACCCATCGCTGCTTTGCTCCGGTGGTTGGATGAAAGATTGATGCGACTATTAATTTCACTGAAATTGTTCTTATTAAATTGTACGCGAACTCTTTCCTAGAACTAGTTCCTAGAACTAGTTCGTTCTGGTGAGCGTGAGTTATTGAAACTGAACTGGAAAGCACATTACTAATATGCAATATGCTGTGGCTATTAATTTCGGAATTTTTTTCCAAACAAACAGTGTAAAATTGCGGAAATTTGGGTTTAATTAAGATAAAACAAATTTTTCTATTAATTGATTGACATTTTAAAGTTACCAATAAAGACAGAAAATTATGTAGATATACCTACAAGCACCTCAGCCCCTGCTGGTACGATTCTTTTGTAATGCATTTATTACTTATTCTTATTTTCATACGTTTCCTTAAACAAATAGAAATGCCTGACCGGTATTCAGTTCGGATTTAACGTTTTCTGATAAGTTTTGTATAAGAAAATAAAAGATTTTTAGAATATAACGTTGGCGATTTATTATCGAGTCAAAACTGTGACAACTCAAATGTCTTTTGGTCACCATTAGACTGAACAACAAAAGTGTCCCAAGTCTTTTGTGTCAATTCGGTTCTCAACTAAACTGTCGTTTTAAGAAGTAATTTTAGGACTTTCGTTCAAATTAAACACAAAAGATGACAAATCAAAAAGGCTTTGTTGTTTGAAGTATATCAGCCTAGAATGGAGAATATAAATGTATTTGTAGAAAAATAATTTCAAATCCAGTTACATATACAGGGTGACTTCGAAGTTGAGTCATTTATTTTAACAGTGAGTAGATCTGATCAAAAGAAATGTTTTTTCCTTTACCATTTTTCTGGTAAAATTAAAGTAACAAAGTTATAGCCCTTTGGAAGTTTGAGTACTGCCCTGTCTCAATAATAATATGTTCGTGTTTGGCGACAACGGATATAATCCGCCTGACCGGTTCATCGCATCGGAAACAAAAAAGCGAAAGAATTTGAAACGTTTATCACGATGTTTTTCGTCAGTCGATAACGCGTTAGTGAATAAATAGTAAGTGTTTGTTGCGTGGCTCAAACGAAATCAAAAATGGCACATGTTTACGAAAATGCTGAACTTGTGGACATGATTCTTATTTACGGGGGGGCAGTCTTTACAAAATGCTCCCGGATGCATCACGGATTTATGCGAATCGGTTTCCCAATCGAGTGCAACCAACCCCTCGTGCCTTTGTTAATGTAGTACAAAGTGCTCGTGAATCAGGTGACTTAAGACCTCACAGGTCAGGGCATGCTGCTCCAATACCGCACTATCAAATACAGGTCCGCACTGAAATACTTGTCGGGACGATACTTTATTAAACAAGGTAACATTTTTTTTTATTTATTTTTTTATTTTTACACACATATTTTGGTTTATCTTCCTTCTACAATCATTATCTGAAAATTAATGACTCAACTTCAAAGTCACCCTGTATATTAGAAGACGGGGTTGGTTGCCCAATAAGTGGCTGTTTCTTCGAGTACGAACTAAGAAAAACAAAATTTCCAAATGATTGATCAGGAGAAATGGCAACAAACTTCTAGTTAAATGGTTGGGGTTTACACAACATAAAAGCTCTTGGATAGATATCAACGTGTATTGTAGTATTTTTTTGGACTCTTAGTTTTATGTTTTGTGTTATATTTTCGTAGTTGCTATAGGTTTGAAATGGTTGTATCAATGAAAATACAGATTTTTAAATCTTCTTTTAATAAACTAACCTAGACACATTGATTTTATATATTCATTCAAAACCTCTGAATCTACCCACTTTACTGTCCCTTCACTGTTTTCTTTCGTTTCTTGACAGAAACAGTGGAATATTTTTTAATATGGGTCGGCCAAGCAGCTGAGGTTGGTAGGTCTCATAGTTATCATCGTCCCAGTTTTCTGAAACAGAGGAAGAATTGTTTCAGTTATGGATAATCATATCTGACAATAGCTTTGTATTATGTTGAATGAAGTTATGAGATATTCAGGTACATTTATATTGGTATCAGTTTTCTGTGTTGTGACATTGTCGCAAAGCTTGTCAGGTAATTACATCAACGGTTGTTGTTTATTTGTGGTATATTTTCGTTCTTTTTGACTCAATATTTACATTGTATTTTGTCTCTGTCACAAACTCTAGCGTTTACAAAACATAAGGCATCGAAATCATAAAGTAGATTTTGTAAAATGGCCTAGGGTCTAGTGGTTTTAATTAATATGACAACCATGTGGCATCACTGTAACAAATATTAATTACTGTATGTATAGAAAATATAATTTTTAGTATGACTTACTAAAATAAAAATATTAAATGGTACATACCCTCAGTTTGCTCTAGTACTGCCCCCTGCCATACTTGCAGGATGGCAGGTTCGACCCGTGGGTCGCTCCATCTAGTTTTGGTCAGCAAGCGATTTGCCATTGACGTTGGCTTCACCCAGTGGGATTTATCTAACGGACATTATTTCAATCCATACTTGCAGTGGTCCTCGATAGCAGTAGGGTTGGTTTTTGTAGGCGCCTCATCTGAAAAGCAGTATAATATGTATTACGTAAAAACAGTGTGCACTAATAGGAATGATTAGTTTAACGTATTAGCCACCTGTCACCTGAAGATACTTTGAATCCTTAAGCTGATATTTGTCTCTTATATTTAAATATTATATAGCAATGTTTAGTTTAGCGTATTAGGCAGTTGCCACTTGAAGATGTTTTGAATTCTTGAGCTGATATTTTTCTCTTATATTTGCTCAGATGTTATAAGCATGAACGCTTTGCGTCAATCTATTGTACTTGTACATGAAAATAATTTGGAATTTCATGTCGGTAATATTGGTATGAAAAAGCAAATGAGAAAAAATGCCACAATTCGACAGTTAATGACACTATTGAACCTTTGCTTTGCAGTCTCTCGTCATATCGCACCCCTGAGACGTTGATGCAACAGAAGCAGTATCGGTAGCAAATGGTACGTCTGCACTCGCTACAAAGAAATGAAGTCGGTTATAATCAGAGCATGGATGTTACAATAGATAGGTTTTCAAATTGTTTGACTATTAGGTTGAGACAAACATAAATGAAGATACTTACTGCTCAGATACTCCGAAATGTACTTTGGCCAATTGACCTTCTCGGCAGCGGCTGAATACTGGCGAGGACAGCTGTGTATGTGCCTACCCATGAGATTTGTCGGCACTATATGTTTTTCGTTATATGTTCACGGGATTTTCACTAGCACTAAACGTTCCATTGTTAAGTTGTTTCTTATCGATTTGTCTGAGAACACGAACTCGACTGAGTACCGGAGCGTCCTCCTCTGTATTAATACCACTTCTCATACCATATGACTCCTTATGTTTCCGGATAGCCAGCTGCAAGTCATATACGATTCTCATATTTCTAATCAAGATGCACAACAAGAAATGTTAAATTCTAACGTGAAATACTAAACATCCTTTATAAAATATGAATACTGTATCGTGCGTCAATTAATGTTCATATAATATAGGGGGTGACAGCTGTTGGTGCTACCTGCAAGAAATGTATTTCTAACCTAGATACGCCATGGAAGAAAACTCAAATCCTGTCTATGAGGCCTTCGCTACTAGCGCAAGTGACGCTGCATAGACTTGTGCCGGAAATGCCAAATATTATTTGTTGAAAGCTAAAATACTATACAGTGCCTTTATTTAAAACCTTATAATATATGACATGACACCTTGGGGTACTACCTGCTATATATATATTTCTGACCTGGATACAGCACAAAAAACTGTTTTCGAAGCCATTTTCCGTTAGCCAAAATTATGAGTATATCCGTCGAGCAACTTATATCAGGAAACAGGGATATGTGGTACCAGGAAAATATATTTCGTATAACGAACCCCTTATACCATAAGCATTGTAACGGACAAAATTCCCATAAGCACGAACATGACACACGATTTCTAATAGATTCATCTAATTTACAAAGACCATGATTCATAAATTCTTTTAAATTGTTAGCAGCTAAATTATAATGGATATGTATTGAAAAACGAAATAGAAACACTTATATTTGGAAAACAATTAGATGAAATTTCAAGATACAGGGTTTGTAGTGTACAGCGAATGACAATTAATAACCACATAGAAAACTAAAACTTCAACATTTAAATTATATAGATACTATTTTAGAATTAACTATAATTGTCCAACACATATGATTGTTTGTTATTGTATAGATAAAATCCACTCATGTGACGTCTTATATGTTTTTTTTCATATCATTTACCCATTTTTTAAACAATTTTGTAATTTGGTGAATACATATTGCTCTCCAGTCATGGATAGACAAAGAGGACTACTGATTTTAACTGTCAAGTCAACTACATGTGCTGGCAACTTTCATTTGACATAACACCTTGTATTTGCTATTCTCAATTCAGATTTAGGTATGAAGATGTTGTATCTAAATTAACTGACATGCTAGAGTATCCTTGCTTGAACAATCAACACTTGAGATGAATATCCAATGGTGAAGGTGTATTTTCAATGAAACACAATACTATTTTTAAAAGCATATATTCAATTTTTTAAATCTAGCTTACATATATACAACTTATAGTTAACAAAAAAATTAATATACAACTACATTCAGGGAAACTAACTCATACAAAATACATATACAACTTAAAATTTTTAAAAAATATAAATATACAACTACATTCAGCTAAACTAACTCATACTAAATATTGCTAGCTAACTAGTCTTCCGGATTTTCATGGATATCTGATGACAGCTTCGGATAATCTAACGCCGTTGATGACGAACTCCTCATCCGGTATCCTCAATGTTTGACATGGCCCAGGACTATCAGGATGTGTGGAATGGTGCCAGTGACTCTGATCCGGGTCATCATCGACCAAAACAAATGTTCCAATGCTCCACATATCATCATCACTATCATCGACCTAAATGACACTTGTAGCAGTTCAAAAACAAACTGTAAAGGATAAGGTTTAATAGAGATACTAAATTGAGGGTCGAATGAAATTAGATTTGGAAGAAGGGCGAGTAAAAAATGAATATAAATACACTTACATCGGATACCGGTAACGAAATCCATATACCGGTTGAGTCCGCCGTCAACCGAGTTGGTTCCTCTTCTTCTTCTTCTTCTGTTTCCATTTCTTCATCACTGGAATCGAGCTGTAATAACATGAAAAGTATCCATGAATACAGAAACAACATAGCATAAGGTTTGACAACAAAGAAGAAAAATCTGCTTACTCTAAATGGAAGTATGAGGTACCTCCCACCAGCTGGTACTCCCACGTTTGCTGCTTAAGGCATGTCCTCAAGGTTGTGCAAGTCGAGCTGTAATAACAAGAAAAACATCTCTAACTTTTCTTCTTCTATTTTTTCTTGTGTGGATGTAGTCGAATGAATACCGACGAGTATTATGAAAATACCTGAACGTCCTATCAAGCTTGCCTTGCCATGGTATAGATCACAGTGGGGTGAGTTTCTGTCACAGACATCGTATGGAGCAAGTCTCACCGGGTGGTTAACAATTCTCAATTCGAATTTATGGCAGCTACCATTGCTAGTGTGTTCGTACTTGTGTATCTTAAACTTAACAATGGTGTCGAGCACAGTTATATTTTTTATGAGCTTTCAAGAAGAATCTATGGTTATCTATGATGTGAAATTTGAAAATTTACAGAAGGTGGCGGACATCCGCCTTTTCCACACTATATTTGATACCATGGTGATACTAATCCAGAAACTTAAGATTTCTTTCATCGCCTTCACTCAGTTGATGGAAAAAAAGATGGTATTACAATATAATGAAACGTAATATTTCTCTTAGTTTTCCATAGTAATGATATCATTTCTGCGCATTTATGTATTTATCATGCGTTGATGTTCTTCAATGAAATAAGAACAACAACTCAATATGTCAGGTATCTATTTAATAATAATGGATGGTATAATATTATAAAAACGAAAAACGGTATGGAGTTCGGAATCCAGGGATAACTTCAACGATAAAAATGATGGCGTCAGATGGTAAAAGTGCTATGCAAACACTTTTATGTACTGGCTTTTAGTGGTAGGATACTCCTAAGATATATAATGGGATTCGCAGACGACTACAAAAAAGGGATTCTGAATATAAAGCAAGAGTTTCTGTTGGTTATTGCAAGATCCTTCAAAAACTGTTATGTAGGCGAATGTGATGCTGAACTGACTATATCCCAGACTGAATGGAAGGATCAACTCATTGTTCCGGAAGATCGTCATAAAGTCAAGCTTCTGCAGAGATTGAATAAACCTGTGAGCTCAAGGATCAAGGTAGCATTTCGATCTAAGGACCTCATGAGCTTCTATTTTTTCGTTCTACATCATCGGATGTTTGGGCACTTAGAACAACCAGTAAACTAGAGAGACCTCTATTCGTCATAATTGGATTTCAAGATTCTACAGTTGAAGTTGAACAACCAAGTATCCCCATATGCAGGTGGAAATTGAATTTCGAAAAAAAGCAACACCGCAACTTATTATGCATTTGATAACTTTTAAAGAACATACTACAACAGGAACGTTCCTCAACCTATGATAAATATTAAAGAATTTAATGACAATCCGCTATTCGTTATTGAGTGCAGCCATCAGCCTGATCATCTCCAACTTTCAACTGTCGACATATATTTGGAATTTGAGACCAGGAAATCTGCATTTCCATTCCACACCAAGGTGTATGCATCAGTTATCCATGACTCATGCATCAGTTACAATGCTTTTGAGGCGTCTACCCAAAATAGACTTATTCAGTCCTAGTAAATGTTTTTGTAAGTGTGAAATAAAACACATCTTCTCAGTACATGTTGTTTTTATTTACCTGTACGAGCTTGAATTAACCTAAATCTAATGCTTACAAACGTCCTCTAACATTAATTTTATTAATAAGTCTCAACTACCATTTTCAGGAAAAGCGCCTTCTACAACATCATTGATTGCACCTATAGCATATTTGACATTCAACGAGGGGCCATTCTGGTGAAACTCAATGTCAGAGTGACCCCAAGGTGAAGTTTTTGTGAATAATAAATATCGTGATGTGCTAGAGCAACTTTATATTTCACCTCAATGTACACATCATGTAGTTTGCTTTTAAAAGTATGCATCTTCCTCAATATTCGCCCACTTACTTCGATTATTCTCTTATAGTCATTCTCAGACAGCTGCTTCTGTAATACAGCCTTTTTAACATCCTTCGTCTTTTTCATTACACTTTTAACTGACCTAATATAATAAGCTTTTGCACCCGTCCCATAAAACCTAATTATTGGATCCGCTGGAAAATCATCTTTTATTTTACCGAGGATCGAATGATTCACTGGAATATTGAATTCATTGTTCTGGTTATAATTTGATGTGACAAATTCATTGAACACTCAACCACACCTTCCGTCGAGTCATTTCCATTATCCGACACATTGCTGATAAGGGGTCGAAGCGTTGAGCCAGGGCAGCGCCAAGCCCCGGAGCACCTCCCGCATCAAAGTGCTGCCGTGCGACTCTGAATTTGGGGACGGATTAGACAGCAGCATACGCATCGCGATGAAGGTGCTGTGGTAGTCGTAGCGCTCGGCGAATAGAGATGGCCCGCGAGCTGGTCACACTGAATCTACCTTCATCGCGGATTCGACTAAATTTAGTAATAATATGTAGTTTTTAAGTAAATGAACAAGAAGGGCTCGGTACGACGCGGCGCATACTATCGAAAGTACCTATCATACCGAGTTGAAGATAAAGCGTGAAAGAAGAATGTCACTGCCTTGGTATCCAATGAAACCTACATATGTTTTAGTGAAATTTAAGGCTCAATTGAAAAAACTTGGTATGACAAACTTATTTCCGCCATACGTTCCTGTCGTACAAACTGAAAGCTAGAGCAGGCAATACAAATAGGTCTAGATAAAAGAATACCGCTGTTTGAATGCCTTATGCTTGTGTTCAAAAGCTCATTTGAGTTTGTCAGTTTGACCCCCGACTACTAGATGTTTGAAAGTATATGTAAGATGAATATGACATACGTATAGGTTATCGTAGACTACTACCGTCACGTTGTATCTTCAAGTACTTTCAGGAGGATGCACCCCAAGCAAACCAAGCCCTTTTTGTTCATTTACTAATAAACTACATATTATTATTGAGTTTAGTCGAATCCGCGAAGTGGTTAGATTTAATGTCGCCGGTTCCGAACCTAAAAAAAATGAGAGGAGTGACTTTCGTGTTGACAGTTGAATTGGTGTGATCGAGTTAGCGCGGAGGTGACAAAATAGTAGTCATAATTTTGACGTAAACATATTTATTCTTACAACAAGTTTTTCAGTATTTGGTAAAATGGTTTTAGCAGTGGGAATTTTGAGTATCGCCTTTAAGGACACATCTGACTATGATTACTCCTTCAAAACATAGAAGGGCTGATCTCAATTCATCAATCCGCACTCGTCTTTCATCGCCAGTAATGCCATCATAATCGGTAGAATGTTTGTTTACATAATGTCTGTGAATAGTCAATGACTTAACTGCGGTGTGACAAATTAAACATTGTGCTTTCCATCAGTAATTACAAAAAATAGGCTTCTTCCCAAAGACCTGTCCACTTTGCCTTGTCCCATTAAGAAATGGCCTGCGCCCGGGAGACAGTCCGCTAATATTTTGCTATCTGTCGCGACGGCTGTGCTTTTAAGGTGGAGGGGAAAACTTCAGGTAGTCCACAAAAAATATACTGTCAACATTCTTATTGTACAACATTGAAAAGCTAAAATGTTTTACAATAGGGATGGTCATTGAGAGGGCGACAATGTCTTAACACGTAACCACACCTTCCGTCGACTCTTTTGTAATTTACAATAGGTTGATGATCGGGGATCGAACCGTCAGAGGTTTCAGAATTAGCATGGTAATTGAGAGGGCAACAATGCCTTCCGTCGAGCTATTTATGTGATACAAGTTTGTCGAAAATCGGATTAAGGTGGGGGATAACAAGATTGAAGTGTGAAGAGAGCGCTGCTGCTCGTTCGCCCGGTCGATGAGTGGGAATGGGGGAAGGGGGAGGTGTATCACTCAACCACACCTTCCGTTGACTCATTTCTATTATACAACACGTTCTTGATAGGGGACTCAGCCAATAAGAGATTTTACAATTTGCATGGTCATTGAGAAGACTCAGAGCTGCAATAACCTTCCCCTCTTCCCCCCGGAGGTCCCAGTACTGACACTCTCACTCTACTCATTATCCATTAGGGATGGATTGATCTCATGATTTCTAACAAATGGTCAATGGTGGTCAGTGATGGTGTCGTGACTCGATAAAAGAATTATACCTTCTATTGATCTTTATTATTATACTATATTTACCGGCAATAAATCACATTATTTTTACAGAATAGCATAAACCTTAGTATCATACTTAAAACCTTGATTGATCTCGTCTAAATTTGCCCCTATTATGAACTCTAAATGGTTGGGGCTTATTAGTAGTGGTGGTTGTTGTTGATACAGTGGTTGTCGCTACTTTCTCGTTATCAGTCTCATTGTCCTTAATGTCATCAGCTACAGAAATGTAGACTTTTTGTAAGTCGGATGGACTTTCCGTCAGCTCATACACGTTGCTGGCACTTTGACTCAGATATTCGACTTTTGGCTGTTCTATAGTTCCTATCAGAGGCAAGGTATGTGAATCTAAAATTTGTCTCGGACCGTTATATTCTTGATAATGACTTGACAGTGAACTAATTGTAGGATATACAGGATACAATTTTGTTGAAGCTTCGTATTGCAATGGTAAAGCAGTTGTAAACTGGAAACCTAAAACCGCATGTTGGTTTCGTTGCTGCATATCAGAGCTAAACAGTGGCTTGTTCAAGTTCATCGGTATCTCCAAGTTGAATGGAGGTAGGTGTATTCCGTAAGGTTTTCTATTTGACTGAACAGAATAGTACTGATTGTAATTAGGTCTTTGTGGCTGTTTCTTGTTCTTCCCGTCTTTCCTTTTTTGACGTCCAGTTATTTCGGAAGCTGTCGTAAGAAACTGGTCTTGGGGTAGTGATACCCATTCTGGTTGGTAAAATGGATTAAGGTTCTCTCTCAATTGTAACACCTGAGTTTCGTCAGCATCTCCTTGGGCTGAAGAGTGGGATACCTGGTCCGTGGCAGGCCTCTTATATTTTGAACCCTGAAAAAGAATTTATGAGTCAGCCACATGACCATCAATCCATATGTGGTGGAAAATATGGGATGTGAGGCAGAAGATATGCCTTTTTGGTAAATGTGCAAAATTTGCTGATTAGAGGATTTCCAAACAATAGGCACTTTAGTATGTCCCTCATTAAAGACGAGCAGATGAGGAAGTTTTTTAGAAAACATCCATTCATCAGCTGTATCTAGATGCTAGCTCCTAAATGTACTGCCTCAAACAACCATTTGGTGCTTTTCTTTCATATCTCCCATTTGTTTTTTGAGCGGGTTGCCTTAAACTTTGGGATCATAAATTATAAATATGCTTGAATCCAAAAATGCATGATGGCGATTGGACGGGTAACCCTAGAATATAAAGATTTCTATTTCTCAAAATAACAGACTTGAGAACTACATGAGTTTTGGTACATTAACTCTCTTATAACTTAACAACTAACTAATCACCAAAATGTTATAGCATATTGTTTCAATCTCCTTTTGGGGGTCTATTCGAGTATGCAATAAAATATGGAACATTTAGTTATAGAAACGGACCTATTCTGACATTTTGTGCGAATGGAATGTTGCATATATTGTATTGCATATTCG